ATTGTCATAATCCAGATGAGAGATGGGGAGGCCTAGGTCAGGGCCGTAACGGCGGAGACGGGAAGAAGTATAGGATCTGGATACGGCTGATGGCGCTGATGGCAATCGCTCATGATCCAGTTATCAGATGTGAATGAATTAGAGGAGTCCAGGACGATGCCAAAGTTTTAGCCTGAACCACCTGAGGGTAGAGTTGATATTTCTGGAGACAAAGTCTGTAGGAGGCAATGGGGGTGGGGGGAGGGAAGGGTGGTAAAGAGAGAGATTTCCCACCAGCTGTTCAGGCTCTGTTTTTTGTTTGTTTGTTTGTTTTAATTTCTATGAAAATACAGCTAACATAGAATAGTATATTAGTTTCAGGTGTACATATAGTTAGTTATTCAGCATTTATATACCTGAAGAAGTGATCGCCATGGTAAGTTCAGCGACCACCTGACACTGTACCACGTCAAGCTCTGCTCTTGATTTATAAAGTCAGCCCTGAATCAGAGATGGACCATATGACCCAGCAATTCCACTACTGGGTATTCACCCCCAAAGAATTGAAAGCAGGGACTCATACAGATACATGTACACCTAGGTTCATAACGGCATTATTCACAATAGCCAAAAGGTTTGGAAATGACCCAAATACCCATCGATGGATGAATGGACAAACAAAATGTGGTATATACAAACAATGGAGTATTATTCAGCCTTTAAAAGGAATGAAATTCTGACACGTGCTACAATGTGGATGAACCTCAAAGACATTGTGCTAAGTGAAGTAAGCGAGACACCAAAGCACAAAGTCATAGAAACAGAAAATAGAATGTGGTTGCCAGGGACTGGAGGGACAGGGGAAGGGGAGGTTAGTGTTTAATGGGGACAGAGCTTCTGTTTGGGAAGATGAAAACATCTGGCAATAGGCGATGGTGATAGCTGCACAACAGTGTGAATGACTTAGTGCCACTGAACCATACACCTAAAGATGGTCAAAATGGGAAGTTCTGTGTTATGTATATTTTACAATTTTTTAAAAAATAGATGGTTATCTCCCAGGTTAGTCCACTGGCAAGGGCTCTATAAAGCTTTAGAGAGTTATAAACACAAACTCAAAATGAAAATGTATCCTAGAGTTTTCCCAGGGTTAACTGTGATGTCATGCCGGGGCTCAGCTCCCAGCAGATGAATACAGGATGTGAGGCCGAAAAGGAAGAACCATGGAGCCACAGATAGAAGGTTCATACTATTATATTGTATTCTCGATGATGGCCGGGGAGACACAAGAAGCAGGATCCGCAGGACCTGCACCATCCTTGACACCCATCCTTGCTAACGCAGCTTTGGCAGTTATATGCAAAACAATAGTAGCTAATGGCCAACTGGTTACAGCTGATGGCCATCTAATAACCAAACCAGCGCCTTTCCACATGAGGCCAAGAGCCTGGAAACTGCCTTCCTGGCCCTTTCCCAACATGTGGGTACAGGAATATCTGCTTCCATTCCACTAAGGGGGCTTCAGAACAAAGATGGGGTGAGATCATTGAGGGGGTGGGGCAGGGGCAAAAAAGAAGCCTATTCCAGGCAGAAACAACAATCTGAAAGAGGATAAAACTGGAAAAAGATGGTCAGAGAAGCAAAGTGAGCAAAGGGGGGTTACACAACAGGAACAGAGACACTGTGGACCCCCGATGGGGGGTGGGAGGATCAGATGACAGTTTTGGTGACTAAGAGAAAGTCATCACAGTTAACAGTCCCCGGTGAGGCTGATAAAAGCGCCGAATTATATCATCTCACAGGCATTGAGCACTCGCAAAGTGTCAGGCGCAGCCCTAAGCACTGCACGTGTACCAACTGGCTTAATCCTCACAACCACCACGTAAGGGAAGTACTCTAATCATCCGACTTGCACAAATGAGGAAACTAAGACTTGCCTAAGGTCAGGCTAGCAGAAGCAGAATTCAAACCCAGACAGACTTGAGCCAGAGCAGGGCTCCTAACAGTTGAAGCCAAACTGCTCTCAACACCAGGCAGTGTGACATCCAACACATGACTTTCTGGGTTGACATCATAGATTTAACTTTCTAGCATTTCATCCTTCCAAACCGCTTGAACATTTAGGGCACCGGGTGACCAGGTAGATGTCTTGATTCCAAAACTCCACTGCTCTGAGCTTCACAGCCTTATCTCACAGCCAGCAACGGCTCTCTGATCAAACCCACTGATTTTCTGCTTATTTACCAAAATGACTCTCGATGACAACAGCCGACAGCAGTGTTACCATGAGAAAGTCAGCCTAAGCTCTGTTCTGTTCAAACATGTTTTTAAATTGTATTACAGGAAATGGCAGACCTCTCTTAAGATGTCAATTTCGAGAAAGCTGGAGGCCCACGGCAGGAGCAGGCAAGGTTCTGGCATTCTAATGAAGTAATGTTTATACGAAACTCCAGCTTCAAAGTCTATGAAAATGATGGACGTGCACGTTGGTTTCTAAGGAAACGTCCACAATCAGGGAAAAGCCTGTGACATGGTCTGTAGATGAGTCCCAGCAAAGATAACTGTCATCTTTCTCCTTTAGTTTAAACCAAGGCACGTGAAGCTGGAAAGCCCTGTAAATTCTTCTAAGCTCTGCAGACTTTATCGGAGTCCCTGGGCCTGACTGCTTTAATCGTGCCTTCTTCACTGCTGGCTCTCAATCAAGGTTCATTGAATGAATAGCTATCATGCATCCAGTGGATAACAAGTCCTTTGAGGAAAGGGGTCAAATCCAATCACCTTTAACTCCCAAGACACTTAATAAATGTCGACGAAGTACATTGGACAAGAAAAAAGTGCTGCGTGGGGAAGGCGGACACTGTGAGAAGCTAGAATCTGCTCCCAAAAGGGCAAGATAGGAGTGTCCAGCACGTGAGTGCTGGGAAGCCAGCCAGAGGCGCCTGGCACCATCCATCTATGTTACGTACCAGGCTTACTGTGCCGGGGGCCTTCCCAGGTCTCCACTGGATGTGAAGTAGTGGACGCCCAGTACTGTGGGAGCCAAAACAGGGTCACCTGGGTGCCATGGGAGAGCACAGAGAAGTGGCACTGAGCCCAGACTTGGAGGCTCAGGTGGGCCTGGGGTGGTAATTCAAAAGCCCAGAAAAACAGGGGGCAGAAGGAGTGTGGAAGAGCATGGTAAAGACAGAAGCGGGGGCCACCATCATGAACTTGGATACCTGCAAGCACTTTGATGGCTGGAGTGAAAGGTGCGCACGGGAAGCTGTGGGTACTGAGATAGAAGCCAGGTCACGGCGGCCTTGTGTGTTAAGCCAAGGATGTGAACTTCCCCCTGAAAGCCAGGAGGAGCCACTGAAGAATTTTCAGCAAGGGAGTAAGATGATCTGATTTTTATTTTAGACTGACCTCTACATAAAGCTCACTTCATCAAGTGGAGGAAAAGATCTAAGACAGTCAGACCAGTTCGGAGGCAATTGCAGCAAATAATGAAAACCCAAGATGTCAGCAATATTAAGGAGGTGACCGACTGGTGTGGTGACCAGATGGTTAGCAGAGCCGATCAGAGGCAGGGAAAATAGGAAGGGGATCAGGTTGGCAGAAAGAGGGGAGGTGGAGGTGAGCCCGTGTTAGGCATCCCAGATGTGCATGCCCGGAGCTCAGAAGAGACGGCAGGCTGGAGAGCAAGCTTGAGAATCGGCTGGCCCCGAGAGGTTGTCCAGAGTCCAGAGTGAGAAAAATAAAGACCCCAGGCCAGGTCCTTGGAAAATTCTGCCATGTGTGAGCTTGTGAGAAAACAGGGGCCTGAGAAGGGAGGGCAAATTTGTCCTAACTGCACAGACATCAAGACAAATGAGACGTCATAAGCCAAGGGAGGAGAGGGCTTCCAGGAGGGAGGAGGTATAGCACCAAGTGCCCAGAGACTGCACTGGGCAGAATAAAGGATAAGCAAGGACAGTAGGTGGCAGTGGGTGGGCCACTGGAGTAGGAGATGAAGAGGTGACCCTTTCAGGCAGGTTGGGACAATACCACAGCAAGAAAGGGGACAGGGGAGGGAGGATTTTTTTTAAGGGGGAAGGGCAAACACATATTTATTTGGAAAGGAGATGCCAGGATAGAGGTGGGGTGCTGGGGAGAGAAGGGGATGCATAGAACCCCTGGAGGTTTAGCTTCAGGAGCCAAGGCACCCCTCAGTGCTGGGATGGGGGCGGGGGGGGGGTGTCCCTAGGGCAAAGGAGGAGGAAGCAGACGAGTCCCAATTCCCCAGTGACAGGGCAGTCACTCTGCTCCAGCTGATGTGGCCATGTGGGAATGCAGGCTCGAGGAAGATTTCCAAATTTCGAGAGCCCACACATTCTCTATTTTCTGTGAAATCTCCTGAGTTTTAAATGTTTGCAACTTCCTTAAAAAGAATTGTGAGACAGGCCCCAGTATGGCTTTAGCCCAGATTGAACCAACAGCCCCCCAGTTAGCTCCCTATGATCGGGATATCCACACCCCATAGTTACTTCTTCCTCTCGTCTCACCCTTCACGTCGACATCTCCCCTCAGGGAAGCCAGAGAAAGCATTTACGTTACAGGATCAAATATACTTTCTCCTGAACACAAGTAGATCTTCAACTAGACGTAAATACAGACCTTTTCATTCTAAGTCTCTAGTCTCTGCCCCACCCTGAACTCTGAATTTAATAGATACAGTCCTGTCAGTATATAAATGTTCAGCTGAGGCCCTACATACAAAGAAACCCTTGAGAATCCTGAAGGAGTAAAAAGCTCTTCTATAGTAAGTGTATTTTCTGCAGACTTATAAAAGCTGAAAGGAGAGGAGGACTTGAATTTCTAGGCCCTGGAGAGGGAGGGGCCAGGCCCCTCGGGTCCTGAGCCAGCTCTTTCCAGAACGTGACTTCTACGGCCCAGGAGGGCAGGGTCATCTGTGGATGCTCCCATGGGCTTATCTGTGGATAGAGGGGATCGCTGCTACAGTTAAGCTTATCATTCCTTCAGTCCCCACCACCTTCTCTCACCTGCATTTGTAGCAGAGACGGAAACAGCCGGGGCTTGGCTGGTGGCCTCCTGAGGTTTATTCTGGTCTTTGCCTTCCAGTGCTGCTGGCTGCGGTGTGTTCTAACAAGGACAAGGATTATTACCTGGTAACTCATCAAATCATCCAATTGGTTAACACTTCTGAAACGCCTAGTGGAAGTATATAAAAAAAGCAGAGGCCCCACCTGTACCCCCCACCGCATCCCAGCCCAGCCCACTCCGCCCTGGCTTGGAAGCCCTGCTGGCAAAAGAGATAACAGAATCAATCTTAAGAAAGGAGTTGGCATACGCTGAAAGACATCCTTCTGTGAAAGTCCAATGAACTTCGTACAAAGGGGACAATGCCATCTCAGGTTCATCAGTTCAACAGCTCCAGTTCCTGTCCTCAAGGATTTTGCAGTGGCAGAAGAAAAGAGATAAGGTTCAATTCAACACAGGAACAAGATGCTGTCAACTGACGTGTAGAAAGCAGGCTTGGGAGTCACTGTCCACCAGGCATCTTCTCCCTGTCCAGCACTGAGCCGGATGCCATGGGGCAGGACTTCCAACCAGTAGATTGAACTCCTCTAAGGGTCC